GCTTTGTGAAGTAGGGATGGGAGCTGTTGGGAGGATCTGTTTTCCAGGGAGAATCCTGGTCCTGTCCCCAGCAGGGAAGGTGGAGCTCCCCGGGATTGTGCCCAACACAAAAGAATCCTTCTGGCAGTCGCAGTCTTCACACATGGCATACAGGGTCACCCTTGGGACTCTCGCCCTTTACATCAGATGTGGTCATCTGGTAGCTGATCCAGTACCCTTGGCCATGAGCCACAGAGCCCCATGGCAGGTCACGATCCGACATTCTATGGAGAGCAAACAGTGTTCAAGGAGAGTTTCCTGGAAGGTGAGCAAGCTCTCTCCTCTGTCTTGGTAGCACACATCTTTGCAATATCTGTTGCAAAATTGTGACTTTTAAAAAGTCAACAATGAAGACAAATGTTTATACGAAATTTGTCACCGAGCCTATGTGGTCCTGGACGTTGTCACCATATCACGGTGGCACCAAGCACATTCCTGTCTGATCTCAGTGGTACCAAGAACATTTGTCAGTTGGTGAGGGCGTGGCGAATTCTACCACCACTAGGCTTCCCTATGAAGTTGGCCATTACAATGCTGACACACTGAACCAGATGGGTCGCTCAGTATGGCACACATTCTTAACTGTATTCTCCCCCACTTTACTTTGTCTTAATCACCACTAGGTTTCTTTTCATGTTCTGCTGGTGATTTCCTCTATTCTAGTTTAGATTATGTACATTGGAAGTCATTCCTGAGTCCTTCCTTGAATAAAATAATGGTTAAAAAATAAGTAGAGAAAATGATTGCTGTATTTTCTTTAAGCTTAATTTTTGAGCCGTTAAAATTTTTCCAATACACCAGATCCATTCAACAATCTACCCATCCAACCACTCATCCGTCCGTCCATCCATCCATCCATCCATCCATCCATCCATCCACTGATCTGTCCATCATTTCATCCACCTATTACTGATTTGTGGGCTAAATATAAATTCTGAAATCCAAATCCTTTGGGTGCTTATTACATGTAAAATAAATCTTCAAAATTTTTACTTATTTGGGATTTTAATCCAAGACATCCCTGCACCCTGAGCCCCCTTAAAGATTAAGACTAAGAGGAAACCCCCCAATTTTCATTAATTCACCAATTGTGGAGTATTTTTTTGGCACTGAATCATATGAACAGGAAAGAGTTTAAGGTACATTTTAATAGAATGTCATGTTGATTCTCTAATTTCTGTTTCACATCCTTTTCAAGCCAGTGTTCATTAAGATTGTATCACATCTTTATTTTTTCTTGCTGAATTTTGAATGGATAATTTACTTGCCATAGCTCACAGAAGTTAATATGTAATAGAGTCTGGTACATGAACTTAGTTATTTTGAGTCCTTTTCTCTACCTACTGTGTGTCCTGGAACTTGCGAGGACTTAAAAATGTCCACGTACCCCTTGAGTGTTATGTGAAGATGTGTTCTGGTTGGCAAATTTTTTTGGAAAGTTATCAATTGACTGCCGTGGATGTATTTCTGACATCTGCCCTGGTTTCATCACCATCACATTATAGGGTTGAAGTATGGCACCGCACAGCCCGATTTTTGCAGTTGTTTGAAACCTCAGGTTAGTTTTGGTGACTCCTTCCTCACCTTCAGCATACACACTTCCCTGTGAAAACGGGTTATTTGACACCTGACACAGAAATTGATTAAGAGTTAAGGATGAATCAGAGTGAGAATGAAAAACATGGTACAGTGAACATTCACCTCCCTCAGGGTCACCTTAACGTGATGTGGGCAGGTGACTGGTGCCGGCTGCTTTGGTCAGCGTGAGTTCTGTGTGGGCGTGAGTGCTGGCAAATGGAGTTGATTACGTCTTCCAACTGGATTCATTAATCCCCCCTTGTCCCATAATAAATTGAAGGGGACTGGTTTCATCCATCTGTACCACAGACCAGGTTAGAGTCAGAGATCATGTTTCAAGGAAGCCTTCATAACAGAGTGCTTTCTGTAGCATGCATGTTATGAATTTTAAATACTGGTGGAAATAATAGCTGAGTTACTTTTTAAAAATTGGCTCATTTTTTAAAATATTGAGGTACCATTAGTTTGCTACTCCTGGTATGGTTTAGGGGCATAGGAGTTGCACCTCTCCTGATGTATTATATGTCACTACGTGTTATATGTCACTACGTGGCACCGACCACCCAAACCCTAATCCTCTACCTGAGCTCACTGGTCCCTGCCTTCCTTGCTGCACTGCCCTCCTCAATTCTACAGCCAGATTTCTAGGGTTTGTTTCCATTTAGGTTGGTCTTCTTTTGCCTTGTTACTTTGTATTTCACCGATGAGTGAAATCACCCAGGATTTGTATCTTTCTCTGACTTACTTTGTGCAGCATCATCTCCAAAGTTATGGAGTTAACCATGCAAAGCCCGTTGATTTAATGCTCATAGAAACCCGCTGGCTCAGGAACTACTATTACCCTTTGTAAAAGGGTAAACACCATGTAGAGTTTGGCTCAGTCACTCCAAGTGTCAGTACTGAGATTGGACTTGGTGTGTACTGTAGGACTCCACACACTGACCTTGGGGCATAGCTGCCTCCCAGAAAAATCAAATTCTCTGCAGCTCTTGAATAAAACTCAGAGTCAAATGAGTACTGTTGTCTCCTGTTAACTGTAGCATTTTTGCCCAGAGTAGGGGAACCGATGTGGGGTTCTTCCTTAGTCCGTATCTTGGGACAGTTCCACAGATAAGAATGTTTTCCCCACCAAAGTTAGAAAAATAAATCTGCCAAATAATTTCAGTTTTGTGTTGCACAATGATGCCTTGGACAATGATGGATGGCATATATGATGGTGGTCCAAACAGACGGCATCTGAGCCAAGGTGTGTAGTAGGTTGTGCTGTCTAGGTTCGTGGATTGCACCCTGGGATGTTTGAAGAGTAACAAAACTGTCTAATGACACATATCTCAGAAAGTATCCCTGTCATTAAGCAAGGTAAGACGGTAGATAAAATGGAATATTACTTAGTCATGAAAATAATGGAATTACGCTGGTTGCAATAATAAGGATGAACCTGGAGGGCATTAAGCTAAGTGAAATTAGTAGAGAAAGACCTATTGGATTCCACTTACATGTATATCTAAAATAAGTTAAACCTATTGACAGAACAATAGAGAATTTAAGGGTGGTGACAAGGGATGGCGAGCAGGAGGATAAGATTGATGGTGTTTTAGGGTACAAATTTGTAGAAAGTAGTAAATAGGCCACAGAGATCTAATATACAGTATAATGAATATAGACAATACTATTGCACTATAAGTGTATAATGTGATACATATGGCTATACTGCACCATCATAGTTAAATATATAGTGCATCAAAGTAACAAACTGTATACCTTCTATTTCTACAACGTGACATGTCAAATTAATCCAATAAAAAAGAAAATATAAAATTTAAAACTCAGTTTTGTTTTCCTGAATATTTTGTAAATAATGCCCTCTAACTTTCACCTCTTTCCTCCTACCTTTTTTCTGCTTAGGTATTAGAGGAACATTGGTTAAGAAAATGTTCAGTTCTGGTAATAGAATATGTACTTTTCTTTTAAACTATAAAACATGCATTGTCAGCCTCCAGGTGCAGGTGGAGGGGCAGCCGCCTGCAGGCCCCATTTGCAGCAAGAATCCAGCCTTGCAAATTATTGGCAGCTGGCAGCCTGATGAGTCCATTTCAATATAAATGGGCTGTTGGTATTAATTTCTGCCAGTTCCTAAGCAATTCAGGAACTGCTTTGAAAATTTGAAATTTTTCAGAAAGCGGCTTGAGGAGGATGCCTAGAAGAGAGTGAACAGGATGGTAAAAGGGGAATTAGGGAAAGGGCCCAGACGATGGGGTGCCGGTGGGGGCTTGCTGAGAGCTGTGGGCGTTGTGATGACATGGCGCGTTTTCTTTGCTGGGGAAGGGCTGTAACTTGGCTCATTGTTCTGTTTGCTCTGGATGTATTTTTTTTATACAGTGCTGCATATGGTCAGCTTGCACAAAGTAGGTGATTTGCTTCATGATTTTGCTCTCAGGATTTGTCATGGCGGGTTCCTGCTGGTTGGAACTAGCAGCAGCAGGTGCTGGAGCAGGCAGCCCTTGGAGGCAGGTCCAGAGGACAGTTGGGGGGCAGCACCCCAGGGAACTTTCAGGCCTTTTGCTTTTTTTTTTTTCTTCAGTATTTTTTTCTCACCTTAAAAAGACAAGCTTGCTTAAACAAACAAACAAAAGACATCCTTAAGGGGATCTCTTGGGGAGCTCTAGAGCCTGGTCAATTTATTTTCTGTACTAAGTAACAGTTTGGATATTTTACCTTAATTATTTCCCGTGCTCATTCTTCATGAGTTTCCTTTGAATTTGCCAATTGCCAGGGTAAGAAAAGTTGGACTGGAGGAAAGGGCCCTGTGTTTAATTTGGTCCTTTGTCTCTCTGCCTTTTTTTTTTTTTGGTAGTACTTTTGCCAATTTCTCTTATAATACAGAATGGTGGAGACTTCCTTGTTCCCTTTCATTCATCTCTGTTGAGACCATATAAAGAAGATGCTGACCGAATGGGGACCAGTCTTTGCCAGCTGATCTCTGTTACCTGATAACCTTAATCTTTAGAGATCGGTCAAAATTATAAAAGAAATTTGGAAGAGTTATTTCTTACCATATGTGCAAATAAGCTTGAGTTGTTTATCTGATTAGGCATGCAACTTTATACCTGCAGCTTAATATTGAATTGTTTGATTCCAGGTGTGGTATTTTGTACAAAATTGATATTTGACAATTGATGAAAATGGGTTTGGTAGAAAATGCTTACTTACTAGATTTCTGGCTGATTTTTTTTTCTTTTTCTGTCCTCTCCAGGTTTGGGGCACATTCTCATAGATGAGACCCTGATGGCCACCCCCAGGGGCAGGTGCTGATCTATTTCCAGCCCCAGTTCATCCTGCCCCCATTGCCAAGCTCAAAATCTAAATGCCACACTGCTCTTGGGGCAAATCGGGCTGGGAACCACTGTTGCCTTTTAAGGTAAGTTTGTGAGTATTTCTCTGAGGCCTGTACCTTCCCAGTGAATTAACTGTGTAACTTCAAAGGTGACAGCCAGAAAGAATATAACATTATTCGAATTGCTGTTCTATGCAGTTTGTGGGGAAAAGAGTTTGGAATCACTTCCCTGGATTAGGGTCACACCCATCTAACAATTCAAAAGCTTTAGCATGAAAACTTTTAAAAAAGAGAGAGAAAAGAAAAAGGGAAAGCCGGTTACCTATGAAATCTTTTCTTCCCCCCACTGTGAATTTCTCTCAGGGTCTTTTAAATTTATCCCACAGCTTCACCATCTTTACACTGGATTATGTTTGAAAAAGACAAACCTAGCTTCAAGACCTTAATTTCAAGACAATGATATGTTTTGTTTCTGGTTTGGATAATCTTTCAAATGCAAAATAAATACAGTCAAAATAATAATCTTTCTCTAGCATAGATCATCTTTGATTTGTTGCAAAACTTTTCTGGTTAGTCACTAGTGTTAGGGGTATTTGTGTGTGACTTGGCAGGTCAATTTTCAGTGGTTTGTAAAGATTTAGCAAAAACTTTCAGAACTTTGTCTCAGTTTAATCTTAGCTCTTTTTCTCCCCCTGTCTTCAGGCTCAGCCTCCAGTAGGGAAAAATAGGCTTCAAACCAAGACCTCCCACTAGAATCTAATTTTAAATTTGCAATCTGTTGTCTTGTGATTTTCACTTCAAATTTAACTTTGAAATAAATCCATTTCATCCTTTTTTTTCCTGCCATTTTGGAGGTCTCTTTTCAAGTCATGGGAGGGTAATCATTACGTTATTTTAGTAAGTTTTCATTACTTGAGGAGAGTGAAAAATGTCTTAGTTAATAACTACAATAACTGTAATTTATATACATAGATAAATAAATACCCAATGACATTCATTGCATTTCCCAGTGCTCTTGCTGATGACAGAGAAACCTGGCTTTAGCAGTTAAAAAAAAAAACAAAAAACAAGGTACTTAAAAAAAATCAATAGTATTCTGTGCTCCATTAAACATTACTGTTGAAAAGCAAAACAAAACAAAACAAAACAAAAAACAGTTAATTTTGGACAAGAATAGGTTTTGAATTGGGTCATCTTGAGCCTGTCATAGACTCTGCAGTTCCCACATTTGATGGACTTCTGTTTCAAGCAAACTCTGAATGAGGAGAATTCCTTCCAGAAGAGCCAGCCCAGGCCTTGTCTTGACCCGGATGATGAGGTGTAAGACATGGTGCCAGCCACCAGCGGGTCTTCATAAAATGGACAAGGAGGTGTGTGTGAAGCCAGACAAACGTGTCAGTGTACAGGAGCCCTGGCCACAGACACGGCTGAGCAGGGCAGGCAGAGCGCCACCGGAATGGTGGGACGTGGCCGTCAGTCCAAGCCACAGAGTGTTTTCTTTATCTTCCGTAATCCCCCAAACCATCTGTTCTGAGTTTGGGTTTGGTGTCATCTTGTTGAATCTGTCAGCAGAGTGCCCACATCCCTACTCTCTTCAATTATCCAAGAACCCAGGGACGTAAAACATGTTAGTAATTTTTTGTTGTTGCTCTTTCCTTAAAATGAATTATGAATTTAGTGGAGAAGCTTTAAAACATCCAAAAAATATAATCTTGAAAATTAAAATCGTCTTTCCAGACGATTTGCTTTAAATTTTTGTATCAATCTTGTGTCTGTGTGTGTGTGTGTGTGTGTGTGTGTGAGAGAGAGAGAGAGAGAGAGAGAGAGAGAGAGAGAGAGAGAGAGAGAGAGAGAGAGAGAGATTATTAATTTTCTTAAAGAAAATTTTTACCTGCATCTCAGATATAAATTTTACTTCTGTGATTAAGAAGATTCTGTCTGCCCAGGGTGTGACTTTCCATCCCTGGGATTGTTTCCTGGTACAGTACTGAGAATACATCACATTGATGTGACTTAAAAATGGAGCATTCATGTTATATTTTGGATCCCACAGGTTTTACTCTTCTTTTAAATTGTGTTCTGTCATGTATAATATTGATGTCCATAATGATCTTGCATAGACATTTATTTCGAGAGTGTTGACCTCTACTCCAGGAATACAGTTATAATAGCCATTTTAAACTTGTTGATAATTCTGAAAGTTGTATCTGCCCCACCTTCAGGTTGGCATTTATTATTGATTGTCTTTTCCTTTGAGGACTGGCTAGATTTCCTGCTTTTCTTAGGACTGCATCATGGATGTGTTAAGCACGATAATGCGAGACTTTAGTCCTGTTAAAAACCATCTGCAGAATGCTGAGTTTTCTTTTTGCTGTGTTAGCAACTGACCGGGTTCAGACAGAAAGTTCTGTGTCACCTGCTGTGAGTGGTAGCTGTACCATCAGAGCCATTCTCAAGCCTTTACTCTGCTCTTTTGGGTTTGTCTCACACGTGTGTAACTTGAGAATAGTCTGGGGGCTAGGTGAAGAGGTGAGGGATGGTGTGGGGACGGGTTCAGCTCACAGCCTTGGCTGTATTGCGTTGGCGAGTCTTAGGCATTGACTCTGCAGGGTGAGCTTGGGGCTTGGTGGATTCATACACCGCCTCAGAGGGTTTGCTTTTCCAGCTCTCATTTCATGGAGTTCCCCTTCATTCCTGGCATCCAGGATCCACTCTCTTGGTTTCCTTGGCCAGAAAAACAGGATGTGTCTTGGGAGTGTTTCTGCCTGGGCCACAGCCATTTGGGCACTCATCTGTGCTAAGCACGCATGATAACAATTAGAAGCAAAAATGGGAAGATCAGGCTCGACGAGAGGCTTCGCAGGCTTGACTTGATCTCCCTACCTGCCTGCTGTTGCTTACTGTTCAGGATCCTCAGATAGCTGCTTTTTCGTTGGGTTCTGGGAGTTTGGTTTTTATCTGTGGGCGAAAGGGTGACCATGGTGCCTTACTCCATTGTGGCTGACACCAGACATTAGCAGTTCAGCTGTCTCTGCTTTGCTAGACAGAAGTTCTGTCTTCCATTAGTCAAGGCTTTCTCTCTACTGAAGATCATCTTGCACCATTGGTTTGTGTTTGCTTTGTATTTCCTGATAATATTGTGCTAGGGGGTGCTCGGTAAGTACCTTTTTGTTTTGTTTTGTTTTTTTTAATTGTCTAGTTCATTAAGATTATATCAGAAGGTTAGGTTAGTTTCAGCTATAAAAGGGAATGTGAATGTTTCCTTTTAAAGAATCCTCATTAAAAATTTGTCATTACCTTGAATAGTCCAGTTAGTAAACTTCCTTTAATTTCTATTCTGAAATAATTATAGATTATTCACTGGAAATTGGTAATGCACTGGAAGTACCTTTCATCTAGTTTCCCCTAATGACTGCATCTTCCCTAGTTATAATAACTACCAAAGCCAGGGATTTGACATTTTTCAAAGGGTGTGTCATTTTCTTACATAGGCTTGCCAGGCTAATAACTCTACGAAAGGTCATTGCCTTGGGGAATGACCATCTTCCTCCTGTATGTCCAACCCAACCACCCTAACCAACAACTGTTTGACCTTTTTTTAAAAGATTTATTTATTTGTGACAGAACTGGGGTACAAGCCAGAGGTGCAGGGGTGGTGAGAGGATTCACCAGAGACAGAGCGGAAAGCAGAACAGGCAGATGGGCAAAGTACACTGCCGAGGGGAGCAGCGGGAGGGTCAGGAGAGGTCTGCTGTGCCCTGTGGGTCACCTGTGGGGCAGGTGGGGATCGAGCTCATGCAGAAATGGCTTTAGCTTCTTAGTGCTTTAACCTGCTGTGCCACCTGGGAGGGCCTGTTTGCCCTTTTTGATAAGGTTCTGTGACAATACCTTCAGAAAGAGAGAGAGAAAGAGAAAGAGAAAGAAAGAAACCAGCCTTGTTCACTGTGTATTTAGTTTGATGGTATCTAGAGGATGTTACTATGATTACTCATTGAAGTGCTAAAGTCACCACTAAGAGAAAGATCGTGGTGCTGGGAGGAATGGAAGGACCACTTTCCCTCTGCTGTTTCCATCAGTCTGCTCCTCTGTGTTCTCTGGGTTTTGATTCATTTTCCAGTGGCTCCCAGCCCACTCATACCACTCTGTTAGGCATCATTTTGATTAATTCCCACATTTTCGGATGTTAGAGTGTCATTATACCCACTTTGTTTCAGTTGGTTTCTCAGACCACACGCTAGGGAGTGATGGAGGGAGATGTATACTCTGGCCATATAATGTCAGAGCTCACATTTTAATGGTTGGTTTGTTTCTTATTGTTTTAAATAATTGGATACTATATTCAAGATAGTTCAAAATTCAAAAGACCTAAAAACATATACAGCGATCTCTTTCCATGCCTGTTAGCAGGTAAGCTCATCCTGACTAGTTCTGCACTTTCCACTCTGTCTGTGGGTTGAGGGTCCCTTTCAGCTCTGCATCTCTTTCTCACATGTCTGCAGCTCCCATAAAGAGGAGGAAGGTGGGAATCAAGGACAATAATTAATTGGACTGAGGCAGGAATAAGTCCTAAATGCTTAGGGAAGTGGAGCAGAACAAGCTGAATCTCCTCAACTTGATTCCTGTGTCAAGTAACCCCAAATCCCCAAATCCAGTGGTTTGGAATGAGGGACCTGCTTGAGGTCTGGGTCACAGCGGGATGGGATCCAGAAAGCGGCAGGGAAGTTGGAAGCCGGGTGTCCTTAAGGTGCTGGAAGCAGAGGCTTGTATTTACACTGTGCTCATGTCTTCATCTAAACATGCTATATTAGCATTCTGGAATACCATTTCAGTGAGAAAAAAAATAATCCTGACTTGTGTTGAACAAAGCAGAGTTTGAGGGCCTGCTTTCCTTCCACCTTGTTTTGCTTAAAGTCCAATATCCAAGAAGTTTTGATGACCTTAAGTGAAGACTTAGTTGTATGAGGTTTTCATTTTGATTCAAGTTTATTTTGTCATTCATTCATTATTCTGAGCTTTACTGCCTTTCAAGTGGTGTTGTAGGCATTGAGGACACAGGAGTAAACAAGACATGCAAAACTTTCCATCCCCTGAAGCTTTGGTTAATTTAATGGGGAAAGGAAAAAATACTAAATAGAGGAAATATATTGTGTGTTACAGCTATGATAAGTGCTAAGGAAGTGTGGAGAGTAGGGATTAGAAATGTGGAGTTTTGTGAGAGGGGTTATAGTTTTATAAAGAATTAGGAAGGTGATGCTTGAGTGAAGATCTCAACAAACTAGAGACAGTGAGCCAGGGAGTTGTCTGAAGGGAGAGTTGCAGTTTGAGGAAGAGCTATTCAAAGGTCCTGGGGCAGGTAGGGCAGTCAGAATGTAGTCACTGGAAAGCAAGTGTGAGAAGCCAGGCTGGAAGTTCAAAGACTGAGATTCCCCTTCCACCCTTTATGCCTGCAAGTGCAAGCTACGTGGAACTAACATTCTACAGGAATAAGGCAGAGCCTGCGTTTGAGAGTTCAGTAGGTTTAAGACCGGTAATGTATTCCAGCTTGAAGCTGAGTATCCTTATTCTGACTCTCTTCTGTCCAATTTCTATCCCAGTTTTTGCATTTTTACCAGTTCTTCTCTCCCTTCATCTTCCCTCTCTTACCTAGGCACTTATCGTTAGCATCACCTTTTGCTTTGGTTACTTAAATGCATGAGCACAGTCTCATGAGCATGGCTGTAACACAGCTGGTCTTTCTAGAGTCTTCAGAAAAAGTGCTGTCCTGAAATTGTGCTGAGGTTCTTAGGAACAAACAAGACCTGTAAGACAAACAAAGATTTTTGTTTTTTTTTTTTCTGTCAGAGGGAGAGAACTTCAGTGATGGGAGTAGCTGGTACTTGAAAAAAGGTTTTGAACTTTCAATCGACCAACATTCCAGAGGCTGTCCCCTGAAGGGGGAGACTTTGTTTGTTATAGTCAATGAGCAATTTTAATTTTTCATGTTTTTGTGATTTCAGAGCCTCCTATGGGACCTCTGTGGGTCTTCATGGTTCTAACCAACCTTTCAGGAAAAGCTAGCAAATTGAGGGTGTTTCAGCAGTTCCTAGAAACTTATTTTTCTTAACTTTAGTTGTTCCAAATTTCCTGCTGACTCTGCTTAAGTCACCCCCTGAGAATGGCCCTCAGTAGGATGTAGGAGGTTTAGCATTCATCTCTAAATTTTAGTTCTAAATGTAAAAATTGCTTATTTCCTACCTTGGCTGGCTGAAGAGCGATCTTGAGTTCCAACAACTAAAAATGCTATTAATATTATAGGCCTGTCAGTGTGATGCTTTGGGCACTGTCATTCTTGAAGATTGGGGCCATTTTCTTTTGAAAACCTCTTTGGAGGCTTTTAACTTGATTAGTTTTCTGTTGGCAGAAATGAGCCTAACTAGAAATTTGTCATTGAGACTATGCCTGTCAGTTTATATTTGCAAACTTTTGAGATCTATGGTAGAGGAGGGGATAGCTGGGTACATTTGAGATGGCAGTTTTGTTTTTTCTCCCACTCAGTTTCTATTGCCGAATTCCTCCCCCCACCCCTCCGCCCCTCCACCTTAAGTTTAAATCTGTGTGATCTTTAGAATGGGCCTATGGCTGACACTTGTTCTAAACTTTTTAGTATCTATTGGCCAAACACCTAGGTACTTAGACCTGCGGGATCTTAGTGTGTCCATAAAAGAAGCTGAACACGCTTAAGAAATTGGCCATAACCTTACAAGTTATTGAAATGCTTATTTATTTTACTTTTAAAAATAGAGCACATGAGATTCTTAGGAAAGTAGATAATAGAAGTGGTCACGCATGGGGATTTGATCTTTTCTTTATCTGTCTACCAAGTAGAGTGACTTTTTTCTTAACCTCATAAAGATACCAGCAGAGGCATGGCCTTGCCGCTTTGAACTATACTCGCAGCTATTAGAAAGGAGACTCTTTTTCTTGGAAAGTTCCCTCGTGGTGTAGCTTAGCATCTGTTATCTGTATGTGTTACCTCTGAACTCAAGGGGACACTTTATGGTGCTTCCTTCTTCCTGTTGCCACAAGTTTCATTCTGTAAAGATGGGTTTGTGGATGTTTAAGTAGTGGTGTAGCCTGGATGGTGGCGTTCCAGTGTGATTCCCAGATGATATGTAGGCATAGCATACTCCTGGGTGTTTCTTTCTTTTTAAAAAATTGTTTAATTCATTTTCTTACATCATTGTACATGATTTGGTTTCTCCCCTCAGACATTGTCCCAGTAGTTCTCCCACCACCATAGCACCTGTGATCCATGATCCTGTTTCCCTGTGTTCATCTCTCCCCTGCTTTCACCTCTCTTTCCCCATCCCCTGCTGGATGCCTCAGCTCTATGGTCAACTTGCAAGTTTTGTCTTTTTTCTGATATGTTGTTCAGTTTTTCTATACTCCACATGTAAGTGACATCATGTATTATTGATCTTTTTCCTCTTGACTTATTTTGCTTAGCACAATCCCTTACCGCTCCATCCATGTTGCAGCAATTGGCACGAGTTTATCTTTTTGATGGCTGAGTAGTATTCCACTGTGTGCATAGACCACATCTGCTTGATTCACTCATCTCTTTTGGCTCGTGGATGTTTCAGTCTCTTCTTTATAGTCACAGTAAATTCATTTTCAATTGCCACTTTTTATTTATTGTGTGCCTTCTTTGGCCAGAATATCAGTTTCATGAAGGTGAGGGGTATTTTTCTTTTGTTCACTGTGCCTCTCTCAGACTTCTAGAGCATGGTAGGGGCTCAGTTTATATTTTTCTAAGTGGAGGATTATGTAGATGCTTAAAAGAACAGCTCAGGGATATAGCCAGCTCCTCTATTCTTCTTCTTTCTGGTCAATTTCATGTGAGTAGCTTAAGTGATACCACTTGAATGGATGCAACCTGGCAGAGCAAGGAGATGGGCTAAGTAGAGTCACCCACCACTGGCGAGCTTTGAAGATTTTCCTATTGCCCACTGTGAGGAACAGACATCAGGTCAGCGAGAGAAAGAGGAAAAATATTAAGGAGGGACTTGAATTAACTTGGGTAGCCCCGAAAGGCTGAATCACATTTAGCAGTTTCAGAATGTGAATTTCTGTTTGCAGGGCACTCTGTACCAGATTAATATTCTCAGGTTGGAGCTGATCCCAGAAATAAACCCATTAGTCTGCTATTAGGCAGAGAACGGGGTTTCTATTTTGTTCTGCCCATCTCTCTTCCATCCCCTTCCTCTTCACACCCCCTCCCCAAACCCCACAAAAACTAGATACACAGGATGCTATGCAGTTGAAGGTAAAAGCACTTTTTGTTTTCGACTTTAATTTATTAGCAAAACACTGATCAGACTTAAGTCTTGTTCTTTTCCGGTTTTGAGTGATTTTGACAGAGCTGGAGTTGGGTTGAAGCCAAACAACCCTGGGGAGGGAAGGAGGGTGGATGGAAGTTATTGAAGACCCTTTCTAAATTTTGTTTTGCTTTTTGAAAGATGTCATTTCAGAACAGAAAGCGACTCACTCTGCAGACACCTTGATTTGAACTTTACATGTCTAAGTGGGGTGTTCAGGGGGAAGACAAGGCCTACCCCCTGGAGGGAGGTGTGTTCTGGGCACCTAACTCTGGGCAAAGACCAGTGTAATTCCCTCAGCTGTCTCTGGGGAGCCATCTCCGCAGCTGATGTTAGTGCCTTCCAGGCGACGCAGATGGTGTTACCTGCGGCTCGGGTAGCCCACCCTTCACGCTGAGGTCTCTTAAGTTACCTGTGCCCACTGGTGACTCAATGATCCCCTCCTCTCGCCCCTCCCTTTCTACAGACCATAAAACCATGGGAAACGCAGAAAGTCAAAATGGAGAGCATGAGTTTTATGGAGAGAAGCACCCCATCCTGGGGCGCAAGCACACGTCGCGCTCGCTACGCCTGTCGCACAAGCCACGCAGGGCCAGGCACGCGTCCTCGGGGAAGGTGATCCACCGCAACTCGGAAGTGAGCGCGCGCTCCAGCAGCACCCCCAGCATCCCCCAGTCCCTGGCTGAAAATGGCCTGGAGCCCTTTTCCCAGGAAGGCACCCTGGAGGACTTCGGGAGCCCCATATGGGTGGACCGCGTGGATATGGGTTTGAGACCGGTGTCTTTCACCGATTCCTCTGTCACCCCCAGCGTGGACAGCAACATCGTGCTCACCGCCGCCTCTGTGCAGAGCGTGCCAGACTCGGAGCAGAGCCGGCTCTCCGGGGATGACGCTACATGCTTGGCAGAGGGAGGCAGGAGGCAGCGTCCCTATACCTCCAACGGGCCCGCATTCATGGAGACGGCAAGCTTCAAGAAGAAACGCTCCAAATCAGCAGACATCTGGCGGGAGGACAGCCTGGAATTCTCACTCTCTGATCTGAGCCAAGAACATTTAACAAGCAACGAAGAAATCTTGGGTTCCGCGGAAGAGAAAGAGAGCGGGGAGGCTCGGGGGATGGAAACCCGCGCGAGTCCGCGGCAGCTCAGCACCTGTCAGCGTGCCAACTCCCTGGGTGACTTGTATGCGCAGAAAAACTCTGGGGTGACGGCGAACGGGGGCCCCAGGAGCAAATTTCCAGGCTATTGTCGGAATTTGGTGTCTGATATTCCCGATCTTGCAAACCATAAGATGCCACCAGCTGCTGCCGAAGAGGCTCTTCCGTACAGTAATTATAACACACTTCCCTGTAGGAAATCGCACTGTCTTTCTGAAGGTGCCGCCAACCCACAAATTAGCCATAGCAACAGCATGCAAGGCAGAAGAGCCAAAACAACTCAGGTAAAGTGATTGAAATCTGTTTCAATATTTTGGAAGCGGTGCATGACTCTTAAGTGCATGATTTTTCTCTTCCGAGATTCCCTTGCTCTCGGCGGGGTTTACCCTGTGTGTGCCTGCTGCCTGCTGCCTCTGGCGCTCATCTCCGAACACTCCTCTCTCTCCTGCTTGGCCCCTCTTACTTACAGTTCTGCGGAGAAGGGGTGGGGATTACGGAAGCAGTGTGTGCTGAGGGGGATGTGATAGGAGTGGGAATAAAGCTGATAAGTTCACCCTGGGATGGGAAACCGCCTCTCCAACTCAGATCTGCAACCGCAGGTTGCTTGTTGCGAGCTTCCTTTCTCCGGAGGTCCTATCCGCGCACAGATGGGCGCGCTGGGCTGCGGACTCCGGGAGCTTACGTCTTGGGCACCACAGGTGGGAAGAGGTTAGTTGGAAGTCGGTAGGAGGAGGCGCTTTGGGGCATTTGTCAGCTTTCTTGGAGGCTGGCAGCCTGGCTGTCTTACAGGAGCCATTGCAATTTCCTGTTCCTTGCGATGCCCGCCAGCCCTGTGTGTGTGTGTGTGTGTGTGTGTGTGTGTGTGTGTTGGGGGGAAGGGGGGTACCAGAAGGAATGGTGAGGGTGTCTTCCAGCTCCTACTGGGTAGCTAACTAGTTTTTTACTTTGTACAAAATCTGATGTCTACTTGCTCCTCTGAAGAGTGGGGCTGAAGTGCTCTACCTGCCTGCTTTTTGGTCTAAGGCATGAGGACGTGGGTGTGAAATCATTTTGCAGAGATGCAACGCCAGAAGGACCTGTTTCCTTCCCTGGTAGTGGTAATGAACTTGAGGATAATGTGTCCTCCTGCCTGTCTTGGTCCTTTCCTGCTCCTGCTGTGCCTGGGCTGGATTTTGTGATAAGAATGGAGAGCTGGTTTGTAGATGGTGCTACAGATCAGATTCTACATGGGGTTCACTTGCCTGGAAGGGTGTGTCACCACCAGCGTCGCCAGTGGCCACCACTGTATTCAGTGGGAAAGCAACAGGTGCCTCTGAAGTGACCGGTAGGAGATGGTGCTATACTTCACTGCTGAGGTCAGAGGGGCATTTCAGGGTTCAGTTCTCTCAGAATGGGGGGGGGGTCCTAAGCATAAATGGGCAGATGGCGGAGAACCTATGGTGGAGGCATAGAAAGCGAGCATTAGGCTCAGTTAGTTCTCATTGAAGAGCAGATCAAAAGTTGTGTTTTTCAAAATCGCAAGTTTCTAATTTTACTTTGGAATTTTAAATTTTCATATGCAAAGTCATTCAGGGATACAGATTTTTGTTAAACTACACTAGATTTCTGCATTAGAATAATAAAAAAAATTGCTGCTCACCCTCCAGGTTTTATTATAGGTTAGAGGAGTCTGCTTAATCTTTGCCTCTTCTTTTTAAAACTTTTTAAAATGATGGCTAGTCCACATAGCATTGACCATCTTAACCATTTTCAAGTGTGCAGTTCAGGGAAACTGAGTCCCCTTATATTGTGCCCCCATCTCTATCATCCCTCTCCAGAGCTTTTTGCCTCTTAACAGATTGAAATGCTCTCTGTGCCCAGAAAATACCAACTTCCTATGTTCTCCCTTTCCCTTGCCTTTGGCAACCACTGTTTTACTTTCTGTCCATATGAATTTGATTGCCTCCTTGAAGTTTCTGATGAAACAATGTCATCCTATAATATTTATCTTTTTGTGACTGGCTTATTTCACTTTGCATCACGCCTTCTGGGTGTATTATGCTGTAGCCTATGTAGACTTCCCTTCCTTTTCAGGACTGACTAATATTCCACCACAGTGCATATAGACCATGGGTTTGTCTTTTATTTTAATCCTTTCATCCTTGGGAGGGCAGGTTTTGTTGACGTCCAGTCAGGTTTTATTGAACCAGTACCCTGATTCTCCCTTTTCTTAGGTCAGTTTGGCAAACATTTTAAGTCTCCTGATGCCTTAATTTATTCATCTGTCAATAGGAGGATAATAATAAGGCTTTTTGAGAAAATGAATGAAATGGCACCTGTAGTAGAGTGTCTGTTATGGCATAAGAAGCCAATGAGGGAGAACTTGTCCATTGTGGTTTTTATCGCTATTAGTGATGTCCTATGAGTTGAGGACTGGAAGTAGCTTGGGGTTTATATCAAAATCTTGATTAGAGTTGACTCCGTTGTCTGAGTAGGTGAGTGTGAATTGCATCTGGATGTGCTGCCTGCATTTTTGCTCATCTCTTTGCTAAAGAAGACCATGATAGTGGATGTCATGGCTAATCCCTGTGCTCCCCGGGGAGCATGGCCATGCATGGACTTTGGTGGGGCACAGGCGAAATAGGTGCCCTATTCAAGGATCACCTCAAATGTACTGAAGGCTCAGTCCTGAACAATCTGAGATTGCTGTTGGGGGGCTAAGTCAGAGTGGTGGCCTGTGGTATTTGGAATTTAGTGAGGGATATGTCGCCACCTACAAACTCTTGAAAAAGCAGCATCACCTGCAAATGTCCCTTTTACCCGTAGCAATGCTACATTGGTTTCTATTCAGTTTTCGTGGGGTGCTCTATCCTGGCCTCTTGCGTATCTCTCCAGTGCTGGGGACAGCTGGGCCTGTGCTTTATCCCACCTGCTGATGGGGCTGTGAACTTTGGGTCATCACTACCCCCACAAGAAGCTAGAGCATTGTCTCCTTCGGAACCAATCCCCCTAAAAGCCCTCACGTGTAACTGTTATGTGAAATTTCCGTTCTTTGGCTGGTTGCCTTCCACAATGTTAATATATGGAAGTGAGATCATCTAAATGTGGTGTCGCATAAAGTCACCGCTCAGGCAGCTTAATGTAATGCAAAGTGCAGCAGCCTGGGAATCTTAAGAAGTGCATTTGCTTCTTGGCTTGAGACCTACGGGCTGGCAATCTTGGACAAGTCACTCCAGCCTGCAACTCCGCTGGCTATCCCTCGGGCGGGTGAGGGCAGCAGCCTCCCTCAAGGCCATCCGGTGATCCCAGTGAAACACGGGGCCTGGACGCCTCTTGTAGAGGCTATAAGGTGAATGGAAATATTATTTTCATATTGATTTTCTGTGTGGAGGGAAGCTTTTTAGCGACTTGCACTGAACCCCGGGATTCTGCGTAACACTGTCCCCTCACCCACACCTTCCACTCCAAGTTTTGCCTGTTCGTCCAACGCAATTTCTTCTGAGAATCCACTACGTTCCAAACTGTGTATTTTAAGAGGCAGTGGGTGGGTGGAAGCTTCCTTGAAAAGAATTCTTATTTTGTTGTTGGTGGTAAAATCTCTGACAGAGGGGGCCTAGCTAGTGAGCTTAGATGTGGAATAAAGTCCATCCCTCTGTCCTGGTGATGAAATCCAGTCTGCCACCATCGTCCCATCAGCTCCCCGCAGCCAGTGGCACCTCCCACCCCCAAAGGCTTCCAGAGCACCTGAATGCAAGGGTGTGTATTTGCTTAGAAATAATGCAAACAGCTTTGTTTTGGGTTGAAAGTGATCAAGAAAGAGGTTTTGACCCTGTGGGTTTGTTCTGACATCAGATGACCTATGGAACCAGGAGGGACTGGAGGTCAGATTCAGGGGCTAAGCAAGTGTCGTGACGCTGAGGGGCTGTTTGTTAGGAGCATTTGCGCATGCGCGTCTGTGTCTCTAGCCAGTCCTGTGATGGGTCCGGCACTGCCCAGGCCCTTCAAACACGGTTTCCTGGTGCTGATCTCTGCGGGAGATGGCTCATTCCTTGGGAGGACTTGCTCTCCCACTGGCCTTTTGGCTTGTCCTGAGCAGAATTCATGTCTCTGCTATGGTGCTGTGGCCAAAACTCAGCCGGTGCATGCATGTCTAGCCACAGAGTTACCTCTGTGGTCTGCAGGGGTCCAGCTGCTATTTTCATACTTCCTTTTAGGGACTGTGAGCCCAGGGTCAATGTATCTGGTAGCTCAGGGAAGGCTCTGGAGAGCCCTCACCACCATGTCTATAAGTCCTTTAGGGTATTTTTTTTTAAAGATTTACTTATTTATGCATATAGAATGGGGGTACAGACCAGAGGTGCAGGGGTGGTGAGAGGCTTCCCCGGGGGCAGAGTGGGGAGCAGAACAGGCCGATTGATGAAGTACACTGCTGAGGGGAGCAGCGGGCGGGTCAGGAGAGGTCTGCTGCGCCATGTGGGTCACCTCTGGGGCAGGCGGGGATCGAACTCATGCTAAAGTGGCTTTAGCTTCTTAGTACTGTGCTTTAACCCGCTGCGCCACCAGGGAGGGCCCAGGTATTGTTTTAATTTACTTCCCCTGATTAGGTTTGTGCTTTGACATGACTGTCTCCATTTTGCATTTGACATAAGCTAATTCATGTAAAATATTTCACTACTTATCAAGCGATACGCATAATGACATGAATATTTGAGCAGTCAAATGCTCTCACTACAGCCAGGACTTTCCTACTGTGGTGTCCGTGTGGTTCGGCCTGGTGTTAGGCTGGACACAGCTGTGAAGTCCGGCTTGTGGGCTCTGTACCCAAGGTGGGCCACGGTCTCTCTCACGAGGCTACTGTCAGATTCCACCGGCAGTGAAAGTGAAGCTCCAGGCACAAGGCAGACGCCCAGGAAACAATGGTGACTTGTGATGTGAATCGGGTTAATCGGGCTCAGCCCTCACGAAGAGCGTCTGTGAGGCTTTCAGAGGTGAGGTGGAACGAGACAAGTGACCTCCGCGGAGTGTCTAGTCCCAGGTTCCAAGTTTCAAAGGGAAGCCTTGGCTCGGAGCCCTGGAGCTGTCTGTGTGGAGAGCTTTGTTCATCCACTGGGAGATGAAAGAACAGGAGTGGAGGTGCTGAGAGGTTCTCTGGGCCTGCAGCCTTTGGGACATGCAGGGGGGCTTTTAGACCCTCCACCCCCGGGACACATGTCCACTCCTGACACCGCATGTTTCCAGAATTCCTCACACCCTACCTGGTGCAGAGGGGAGGCAGAGCGAGCTCTTGACCGCTGTGGGCCACTGG